AGCTGTGGCTGCCCCTGGATCCCTGGAAGTGTCCAAGGCCAGGTTGGAGCAACCTGGGCTAATGGAAGGTGTCCCTGCCCATGGCAGGGGAGTAGAACAAGATGATCTTTAAGCTCCCTTCCAACTCAGCCCATTCCATGATTCTCAATCCAGGATGATCAGTCTTTGGATCTAGATTTTGGACATAAGGGAGAGGTAGCAATGCCACATATTCCTGAGCCCCCTTTCCAACCCTTTCCCTTTCCCAGGGCTTTCCCAGAGCAGGATGTTTACACGACTCCCGTGTACTTCTCCTCCGACTGGCTCAACGAGTACTGGGATGCTGTGGCTGTGGACGACTATAGGTTTGTCTACATGGGACCCAAGGGCTCCTGGTAAGGAAATGGCCTCTCTGTCATCCTTAGGCACCCATTTTGAAGGTTAATATTCCAGGGAATTATCACATTATCCTTTGGGATATCACCACGCTGCAGAGTCCAGGGTTCTGCCTGGATCTGTCCAGCCTCGTCTCTGTTTGTGAGCTGAACTCCTGCATCAGCCACAGGAAAAGCCTTGAATTGTGCACCCCAAAACCAAGTTATTTAAGGATTTGGAGCAGGAATTCCCTTGGGATCATCAGCCACTTGTGATTTGCAGGGTCAGCAGAAGCCTCGTGGAGGCACCGATGACTCAGATGTTCTGCAGGTGAAAATTCCAGCCCGGCCTCGGTTAGCAAGTGACAGTTATTTGCAGTTCCCATCCCAGAATATCCCACAGAATATCCCACAGATGGAGGGATTGGAGAGACAAACACTGGATTTGACAGGAAACACTCGACACTATGGAGATATAGATAAAACTGTAGATAGAGAAAACTACTTAAACCAGCCAAAATTCCAGGAAGAAAAGGGCTCAGTGTCTCAGATTCTTGGTGTTTTTAGGATTTACATTAAAGTGTTTTGGCTCTGCCTTTCCTTAAACCTCTGGTTTTCCCTCAGGACACCGTTCCATGCCGACGTGTTCCGCTCCTACAGCTGGTCAGCAAACATCTGTGGCAGGAAGAAGTGGCTGCTGTATCCAGCAGGACAGGAGGAATTCCTGAAGGACAGACATGGCAACCTACCCTTCGACGTGACTGCCCCCAGCCTGCAGGACAGGAGGGTGTACCCTCGCTACAGCCAAAGCCAACCCCCCGTGGAGATTGTTCAGGAAGCAGGAGAGATTGTCTTCATTCCCAGTGGATGGCACCACCAGGTTTACAACCTGGTGAGACCCCCTGGCACCATCCTGCTCATCAGGCAGCAGATTAAAGGGATGAGGTTCAAGCAGGCCAAGGGCCGGGTCCTGCCCTTGGGCCACAACAACCCCCGGCAGCTCCAGGCTGGGCCAGAGGGGCTGGAGAGCAGCCAGGCAGGAAGGGAGCTGGGAGGGGGGATGGACAGGGAGCTGAACAGGAGCCAGAGTGTGCCCAGGGGGACAAGAGGGCCAATGGATCCTGGCCTGGCTCAGGAACAGGGTGGCCAACAGGGCCAGGGAAGTGATTCTGCCCCTGGACTCAGCACTGGGGAGGCCACCCCTGGAGTGCTGTGTCCAGTTCTGGGCCCTCAGCTCAGGAAGGACATGGAGGGGCTGGAGCAGGTCCAGAGGAGAGCAACGAGGCTGGGGAAGGGACTGGAGCACAAGTGCTGGGAGGAGAGGCTGAGGGAGCTGGGGGGGCTCAGCCTGGAGAAGAGGAGGCTCAGGGGAGACCTCCTCACTCTCTGCAACTCCCTGCCAGGAGGGGGGAGCCAGGGGGGGTTGGTCTCTTTTCCCAGGCAACCATCAGCAAGACAAGAGGGCTGGGTCTGCAGCTGTGCCAGGGGAGGGTTAGGTTGGACATTAGGAAGAATTTCTTTGCAGAGAGGGTGCTCAGCCATTGGAATGGGCTGCCCAGGGAAGTGGGGGATTCTCCATCCCTGGAGGTGTTTAAGGACAGACTGGATGTGGCATCAGTGCCATGGGCTGGGAACCACGGCGGGGTTGGATCAAGGGTTGGACTGGATGATCTCAGAGGTCCCTTCCAACCCAGCTGATTCTCTGATTTATTCCCTCAGGAGGACACCATCTCAATCAACCACAACTGGGTGAACGGCTGCAATGTGGCCATCATGTGGTGCTTCCTGCAGGATGAACTGGCAGCTGTCCAGAGGGAGATCAACCAGTGGAAGGATCCTATGGATGATTGGCACCTCCAGTGCCAGGTACAACAGGGATCTCACTCTCCAAAGGGATCAGATATTCCAGGGATTTATTGTGTCACTTATTACCACTCTGAGACACAGAATTCCTTCCCTTCCTACCTGGAATTTACATGTTTCATAAAGAATTAGGGAGTGGTGGCAGCTTGATTTTGCAGGAAGTCAAAATATTCCCTTAATAAGCTTGGGAATGGCTTGTGCCAGAGGATATTTGGTATGTCCAGGTTGGGATGTTGTTTGGAAAGCAAATGTTTCAACTGCTCTCCTTCAACTTCTCCTTTCAAGACTATTCCTGGGAGAGCTGGGGGTGTTCCCCTGGAGAAGAGAAGGCTCCAGGGAGAGCTGAGAGCCCCTGGCAGGGCCTAAAGGGGCTCCTGGAGAGCTGGAGAGGGACTGGGAACAAGGGATGGAGGGACAGGACACAGGGAATGGCTTTAACTGAAAGAGGATAAATTTAGGTGGGATATTGGGAAGGAATCATTGGCTGTGAGGGTGGGGAGGGACTGGGATGGATTTCCCAGAGAAACTGTGGCTGCCTCTGGATCCCTGGAAGTGTCCAAGGCCAGGTTGGAGCAACCTGGGACAGTGGAAGGTGTCCCTGCCCATGGTAGGAGTGGGACTGGATGATCCTTAAGGTCCCTTCCAACTCAAAATATCCTGGAATTCTATGAAACAGTGAATTTAAAACAAGGATAATTTAGGGGAATTTTCTGTCTGCAAATTGATGCTTTAAGAGCCCATATTTTTAAGAGCCCATATTTAAGAGCAGGGTTGTACCTTGGGTGCTCTCCTGGCTTCTGGCTGGGAAAGAATTCCATCCCTCCCAAAATCTTTGCCATGAAACAAATGCAAAGCTTATTTCTGGAGGCTGTTCCTGGATGGATTTCCTCCAGAACTCCTTGGAAAACCCAGCAATTCAGTCCTGATTAAAATCAGGCTGCTGCTTTTGGGGCTGGTGACACTTCAAACACAGATCACGAAAAATGATTAAATATAATCATTTATGATCCCATATAATTATTACCTTGATAAAATCTGATTTTTGGAATTTTGACTGGAAAGCTGGGGCTGCCCCTGGATCCCTGGAAGTGTCCAAGGCCAGGCTGGAGCAACTTGGGATAATGGAAGTTGTCCCTGCCCATGGTAGGGGTGGCACTGGATGATCCTTAAGGTCCCTTCCAACTCAAAACATCTTGGAATGTTATGAAACACAGTGATTTATGATTCCATACAATTATAACATGATTTGGTGATGTTTTTCCCTGGAAATCTCAGTGTTATTCCCATTTCAATCCCTCCCCGATTTTAGCTGATCATGAAGTCCTGCACGGGCATCGACTACAAGGAGTTCTACAACTTCCTCAAAGTCATTGCAGAGAACAGGATTTCTGTCTTGGAGAAGGGCCTGGATGAGGAGGCCTTGGCCAAGAACACTTCCAAGGCTGCCATTTCCACCCTGGGAATGCTCCACGCCGTGTTCGACCTCAAGAGGACGGTGAAGGTCCTGACGTCGCTGAGCGCCAACGAGGATTTCAAGAAGCTGGATCTGACCTCCCTCTCCCCCCCTCCTGAGGCTTTGCTGCACCACCTCAAAGCTGCCATAGACACAGCCCTGCTCTGACTTCCCATTTTCCCTCGGTTCTTTGGGTAAACCAACCTTTTCCAAAGGCTTTGGAGAAGGTTCCTCCTTCCCCGGTCACCGGCTGAAGCACAAAGAGCTTCCCTACGTTCACTTGGGAGTCATTGGATGGAGGAGGGGGGAAAAAACGATCCCAGATAAAGGAAAAAAAAACCCCAAATCTTGGCAGGATTTTCTTCCCAGTCAGGGAAGGGGGACAGAAGTTCCCTGTGGATAACCAAATTCCCTGTGCTTCCAAGAGCAAAGCTGCACTCCAGCTCTGCTTTGTCTCCTCACAGCTCCATGATTTGAAGGCTTCCAGGTGCAGCTCAGCTTGTCTTTTCCTTCTTTTCTTTTTTTTAGGGAATTTGAGCTAGTTTGCTCCCTTGGAAGCCTGAGCTGGAGCCTGGAAGTGCTGGCTCTACTTGTGTCCTCCAGAGCTGGAATTCTCAGGTGGAATCAGCCCTCCAACGGCTCCAGGGTTAAATTTAACATCCTAATTAAGACACTGGAGCCCTGATTGCAATTAGAGCACTATTAATTAAGCATGTGACCCCCCCCACACCCCTTTTCCCCCAAGCTGCAAAGGAGGAATTGGAATGCACTCCCACATTCCCACCCACAATTCCAAGGCACAGCAGGGATTTCTTTGATCAGGGAAGTCAGCCAGGAGCCTCCTCTCAGCTGCTCCACTGTGGTGGGCACACACCAACCAAGCCCTTTGCATGGTTCCAACAGCACAATTCCCAACTGGAATGCCCAAATATTCCCGGGGAAACCTCCCTCTTGCTCTTCCAGAGAAGCACAAATGGCTGCACACTGTTACCACTTTAGGGCTCACTTGAATTCTTGCTCAAGAACTTCCTCAGTTTTGTTCCCCCTCCCAGGAAAAGCAGCTACAAACTGTATTTTTAGGAAGTGCAACAGCAGAAACCCAGAGTAGGCTGAGAATTCCCTCGTTTTCTAGATAATTCCATGGGTTTGTACTCGCATGCACTTTTTGCATGTCCTTTTTCTAGTAGAAAAAGAAAAAAAAATCTGCATTTTCGAGTAGCAAGTGGTACCTGGAATGAAAAACTCCTCACCCAGAGCATGGAAAAAACGTGGAGAAAACAGCATTTTTTATTTTTATTTTGGATCAAACCATCCCAGTGCTCCAACCTTCTGGAAAAGCACCAGTTTTAAGCAGCTCCACAATTCCAATTTCACAGCCTGGTCCTTGGGGCTCTTTCCATTCTCCAAAACTCAAGCTGGAGTTTTCCTCCTTTTTAACGAAGAAAGGGACGTTTCCTAAAGGTGAGGGACAAAGATTCCCAGCTGCCAATCCTGGTTTTTGGTAGGAAAAGCACGTTTTTGGGCCTTGCATTCCTGCATGTTGTGACACTGGTGGTTAAAACCACGTAAAAATGAGATTTATGGATCCAGATTTGGCACTTCCAATCCCTTCATTCCCAAGAATGAGCACTAAAAATCAACGAATCCAAGCAAATTCCCAAATGCTGGAAGGCAGCAAAGAGATTGGGATAAGGAGGAGGCAAGCCTGGAATCTCCCTTCAAATTTCCAACCAGCTTTATTTAAATACATCCAAGTAGGAGACTCTCATCCCAATATATTAATTCTTGTAATCAGTGTTATTATTTATTAAAGCATCAATCCATGTGAGAAACAGGAGCCAAGAGCTTGTGTTTTGCCTGGATAGTTCATTAGTTACCTGGGCAATTAATTCGAAGTCAAACTTTAAAAAATAATTTAAAAAAAAAAAAAAAGCAGGTTAAAATCTGTGTCAAAACCTCTCCAAATGCACCTCACACAGGTCTGGGAGGGACAAAAAATCCCAAATATCCCTTTGATTTTCCAAAGGAAGGCTAAATCCCAACCTGATTTTGGTGTCTGGGGGGGTCTGTCAGCACAAATCTCCTTGGAAAAGCAGCAGGAAAAACAAGTGTTTGCATGTTTTCTCTTCCCAGGAGTTGGGATTTCTCCCCCCAGACCAACATTCCTTTTCTTCCAAGCCCACAGGAAATCCCTGCAGAATTCCAGAGCAGCAGGAGCAGATCCAAGGTGCGGGTGTGACATTCCCTGAGGCTTCAATAAATCCACATCTTTTGGTCTCCTAAAACCATGGGAATTGGGGAATAGCAGCTTTCCAATGCCATGGACAGGTCCTGAGTTTTAGCCCAGGGAGGAAGAGGAGTGGAGAAACCCCCTCTGCCCTCCAGGAATGGGGTTTTTTTAGGAATGTGGGGGTGACCTCTCCAACCAGAAATGGTCCCACCAGAACTCCTGTGCTTTCTCTCCAATAAACTCTTCTCCTTTCTGTCTGTTCACCAGAGTAGGGAAAAAGGAGCTCCCTGGGATTTGCAGGACAAGGAAAACAAAACCACAGGGCCAAAAGAAACCTTTTCCACTCGGGAAGAGATTCCCAACCACCAGCTGAGGTTGGACAGCAAAGAGTTTTATCCATCAGCATCCCTGTGTGTGCTTTAGGAGCAGGGTTATTCCAAGGAAACCCGCAGCTGATCCAAGAATTCTTCCCTTTGAAAGGCAGCCAGAGCAGCAGGGACACGAGGGATTCCTCATCCAGCAGGAAGGATGTTCCCTTGGGATCCTGGGGCTCAGGAGCTGGGAGTCAGGGGGCAGTTCTCCCTCTGGTGGAGCCTCATCCTCTGGATGTGCTCGTAGCACGACTGGGAAGGAGCAGAACAAGGGAGTGAGGAGAAATTTGGGGGCTCAGGGACAAAATTTGGGAATCTGGGAACAAAATTTAGCAACCCGGGGACAGAAGTTGGGAATTTAGGGACAAAAATTGACAAATTTGCGGCCAAAATTTGAGAATTTTGGGGCCAAAAGTTGGCAATTTTGGGGCCAAAAGTTGGCAATTTTGGGGCCAAAACTTGGGAACTTTGGGGCCAAAATCTGGCAGCTCGAGGCCAAAATTTGGCAAGTTTGAGGCCAAAATTGGAGAACTCAGGGGCCAAAAGTTGGGAATGTTGGGGCCAAAATTTGAGAACTTCCAGCCCAAAATTTGACAACTGTGGGGCAAATTTTGGGAACTTTGGGGACAAAATTTGGCAACTTTGGGGCCAAAAGTTGGCTGCCAAAATTTGGCAGCTTGAGGCCAAAATTGGAGAACTTGGGGCCAAAATTTGAGAACTTTGGGGCAAATTTTGGGAACCGTGGAGCCAAAATTTGAGAATGTTTGGGCCAAAAGTTGGCAAGTTTGGGGCCAAAACTTGAGAACCTTGGGGCCAAAATTTGGGAACTTTGGGGCCAAAATCTGGCAGCTCAGGGCCAAAATTTGGCAGCTTGGGGCCAAAATTGGAGAATTCTGGGGCCAAAAGTTGGGAATGTTGGGGCCAAAATTTGAGAACTTCAGGGCCAAAATTTGACAACTGTGGGGCAAATTTTGGGATCTTTGGGGCCAAAATTTGGCACCTTGAGGCCAAAACTGGAGAACTTGGGGCCAAAATTTGAGAACTTTAGGGTAAATTTTGGGAACTGTGGAGCCAAACTTTGAGAATGTTGAGGCCAAAAGTTGGCAAGTTTGGGGCCAAAACTTGAGAACCTTGGGGGCAAAATTTGGGAACTTTGGGGCCAAAATCTGGCAGCTCAGGGCCAAAATTTGGCAGCTTGGGGCCAAAATTGGAGAATTCTGGGGCCAAAAGTTGGGAATGTTGGGGCCAAAATTTGAGAACTTCAGGGCCAAAATTTGACAACTGTGGGGCAAATTTTGGGAACTTTGGGGCCAAAATTTGGCACCTTGAGGCCAAAATTGGAGAACTTGGGGCCAAAATTTGAGAACTTTAGGGTAAATTTTGGGAACTGTGGAGCCAAAATTTGAGAATGTTGGGGCCAAAAGTTGGCAAGTTTGGGGCCAAAACTTGAGAACCTTGGGGCCAAAACTTGAGAACCTTGGGGGCAAAATTTGGGAACTTTGGGGCCAAAATCTGGCAGCTCAGGGCCAAAATTTGGCAAGTTTGAGGCCAAAATTGGAGAATTCTGGGGCCAAAAGTTGGGAATGTTGGGGCCAAAATTTGAGAACTTCAGGGCCAAAATTTGACAACTGTGGGGCAAATTTTGGGAACTTTGGGGCCAAAATTTGGCACCTTGAGGCCAAAATTGGAGAACTTGGGGCCAAAATTTGAGAACTTTAGGGTAAATTTTGGGAACTGTGGAGCCAAAATTTGAGAATGTTGGGGCCAAAAGTTGGCAAGTTTGGGGCCAAAACTTGAGAACCTTCGGGCCAAAATTTGGGAACTTTGGGGCCAAAATCTGGCAGCTCAGGGCCAAAATTTGGCAGCTTGGGGCCAAAATTTGGCAAGTTCGAGGCCAAAATTGGGGAACTTTGGGGCCAAAAGTTGGGAATGTTGGGGTCAAAATTTGAGAAGTTCTGGCCCAAAATTTGACAACTGTGGGGAAAATTTTGGGAAGTTTGGGGCCAAAATTGGAGAACTTCAGGGCCAAAATTTAACAACTTTGGGACCAAAATTTGGCAACATGGGGGGCAAAATTTGGCAGCTTTGAAGCCAAAATTTGGGAACTTTGGGGCTAAAATCTGGCAACTTTGGGGCTAAAATTTGGGAACTCTGGGGCCAGAATAAGAGGTCTTGCAGCCAAAGAAGCTGTGCTGCTCCCAAGTTCAGGATTAAATCTGCTGTCAGTGAAGGATAAGGATATTCTCCAGATTCTTTGGGAAAATCAACTCCTGTTCCAGGCACAAAAGCAGCCCCTAAAATTCCATCCCAGCCCAGCTTTGCTGCAAGTGGAAAAAAATTCCCTCACCTCCAGTGCTGTCAGCAGGAAGTCAAACATTCCTCCTTGGTTGGTGGGATCCATCAAGTCTCTGATCAGATGGATTTCAGCTCCCAGGTGCTGGATTCTAGGGAAGGAAAAGGTCTCAGTTAGGACAGATGGGTTGGAAGGGACCTTAAGGATCATCCAGGGACACCTCCCACTATCCCAGCCTGCTCCAACCTGGCCTTGGACACTTCCAAGGATGGGGCAGCCACAATTTATTGATGCTCCAGCATAAGAAAACTTCATTTTTCCCTCTTTTATTCCCTCCTGATCTCATTTACAGTCCAGGAAGATCCTTAGAAAACCTCCCTCGTCCAGCACAGCCACAGGATATTCTGACAGGAAAAGAGGAAAAACACCCTCAAGGTGCTCCAGGGGTTGGATATTAGGGAAAATTTCTCCATGGAAAAGGTTGCCAAGCATTGGAACAGGCTGTCCAGGGCAGTGGTGGAATCACATCCCTGGAATTGTTCAAAAACACGTGGATGTGGCACTTTGGGGACATGATTAGTGGTGAACATGAGTTGACTGAAGATCTTAAAGGTCTTTTCCTTAACAATTCTAAGAATCCATATAAAAAGTTTAAATATTCCACCCTTTTTTTTTTTTTTTTTGGAGGCCAAACATATCCAGGAATCCTTGACAACCAGCCAAGGATTTTGGCTCCAATTTGCCAGGAGATCCAGTTTCCTTGGGCTGGATGGAGGCAAATTCCTGCAGTTCCACTGGAAGCCTCTGGCAGGAATGTGTTACACCCAGTCATTCCAGCCAGGAAAACAAATCTGAGGCTCTAATAATTAATATAACCTTCTAATCTAATGAGCTAATTAACAAATATCATGGTCAAAACCTTCCCAGTCTCCAAACTGGATCCCAGTGCCCTGCTGAGAATGGAAAAGAGATGATGCATCAAAAATCAGCCTTCAGGACTCCATGTCCCTGTTTTCTGTGGGAAAATGAGACTTCATTTCCCATGATAACCCTGAATTATCCTCTGGGATAAGAGCTGGACACTCAGGAATTCCCCAATCACTTTATATCCTGGGCAATCCCTTCCCAGCAGAGCTGGGTTGGGGTTACACAGAAACCCAAAAGCTCAGGAAAAAGCACAAATAAAACCCCAAATCCCAGTTTTTACTTTGAATTCTTTGGCCTGTGAGACCCCATTTGCCATGATAATCCAGAATTATCCTCTGGGAGAAGTGATGGACACTCAGGAATTCCTTAATCCCTTTATATCCTGGGCAACATGAGCTGGGTTGCAGTTCCACAGAAACCCAAAAGCTCAGGAAAAAGCCCCTTAAAACCCCAAATCCCAGTTTTTATTTTAAATTCTTTGGCCTGTGAGACCCCATTTCCTAGAATTATCCTCTGGGATAAGGGATGGACAATCAGAAGTCACTTTACATCCTGGCCAATCCCATCCCAGCAGACCTGGCAGATCCCAACCCACAGAAACCCAAAAGCTCAGGAAAAGGGCCCTTAAAACCCCAAATCCCAGTTTTTACTTTGAATTCTTTGGCCTGTGAGACCCCATTTCCCAGAATTATCCTCTGAGATAAGAGCTGGACACTCAGGAAGTCACTTTATATCCTGGCCAACCTCATCCCAGGAGAGCTGGCAGATCCAAACCCACAGAAACCCAAAAGCTCAGGAAAAAGCCCCTTAAAACCCCAAATCCCAGTTTTTATTTTAAATTCTTTGGCCTGTGAGACTCCATTTCCCAGGACAACCCGGAATTATCCTCTGGGATAAGAGATGGACAAATCAGAAGTCACTTTATATCCTGGGCAACCCCATCCCAGCAGAGCTGGCAGATCCCAACCCACAGAAACCCAAAAGCTGAGGAAAAAGCCCATTAAATTCCCAAAATCCCAGTTTTTAGCAGCAGGATCAGGAAAGCAGAAGGTGCCACGTACTTGGCTCTGGACACGACGTACATGAGGAGGGGCAGCAGGTCATCCATGGGCAGTTTGTAGTCCTTGCCCAGCACCCTGCCCACGGTGCCCTCCAGCTCCTCGTAGGTTTTCTGCAGGATCAGCAGCTTCTCCCTGGGATCCACCGTCGTGCTGCGGGCGGGAAAAGAACCCTGGCAAAGGGGCACCCAACTCCACAGGCAGCAACTGAATTTTAGTTAGATTTTAGCTGAATTTTAGCTCAATTTTAGCTGAATTTTAGCTCAATTTTAGCTGAATTTTAGCTCAATTTTAGCTGAATTTTAGCTCAATTTTACCTGAATTTTACCTGAATTTTAGCTCAATTTTACCTGAATTTTAGTTAAATTTTACCTGAATTTTACCTGAATTTTAGCTGAATTTCAGCTAAATTTTACCTGAATTTTACCTGAAATTTAGCTGAATTTCAGCTAAATTTTACCTGAATTTTACCTGAAATTTAGCTGAATTTTAGCTAAATTTTACCTGAAATTTAGCTGAATTTCAGCTAAATTTTACCTGAATTTTAGCTAAATTTTACATGAATTTTAGCTAAATTTTACCTGACATTTAGCTGAATTTTAGCTCAATTTTACCTGAAATTTAGCTGAATTTTAGCTCAATTTTACCTGAAATTTAGCTGAATTTCAGCTCAATTTTAGCTGAATTTTACCTGAATTGTAGCTAAATTTTACCTGAATTTTAGCTAAATTTTACCTGAATTTTAGCTGAATTTCAGCTAAATTTTACCTGAATTTTAGCTAAATTTTACCTGAATTTTAGCTCAATTCTACCTAATTTCAGCTAAATTTTACCTGAATTTCAGCTAAATTTTACCTGAATTTTAGCTAAATTTTACCTGAATTTTAGCTAAATTTTACCTGAATTTTAGCTCAATTTTACCTGAATTTTAGCTGAATTTCAGCTAAATCTTACCTGAATTTTAGTACAATTTTACCTGAATTTTAGCTCAATTTTAGCTAAATTTTACCTGAAATTTAGCTAAATTTTACCTGAATTTTAGCTCAATTTTACCTGAATTTTAGCTCAATTTTACCTGAAATTTAGCTGAATTTTAGCTAAATTTTACCTGAAATTTAGCTGAATTTTAGCTAAATTTTACCTGAATTTTAGCTCAATTTTATCTAAACTTTAGCTGAATTTTACCTACATTTCATCTAAACTTTAGCTGAATTTTACCTACATTTCATCTAAATTTTAGCTGAATTTTACCTACATTTCATCTAAATTTTAGCTGAATTTTACCTACATTTCATCTAAATTTTAGCTGAATTTTACCTACATTTCATCTAAATTTTAGCTGAATTTTACCTACATTTCATCTAAATTTTAGCTGAATTTTACCTACATTTCATCTAAATTTTAGCTGAATTTTACCTACATTTCATCTAAATTTTAGCTGAATTTTACCTACATTTCATCTAAATTTTAGCTGAATTTTATCTACATTTTATCTAAATTTTAGCTGAATTTTATCTACATTTCATCTAAATTTTATCTAGATTTTACTTGAACTTTAGCTAAATTTTATCTAAATTTTAGCTGAATTTTATCTATATTTTATCTACATTTTAGTTGAATTTGAGCTGAATTTTGGCTAAATTTTATCTACATTTTATCTAAATTTTAGCTGAATTTTATCTATATTTTATCTACATTTTAGTTGAATTTGAGCTGAATTTTGGCTAAATTTTATCTACATTTTATCTAAATTTTAGCTGAATTTTATCTATATTTTATCTACATTTTAGTTGAATTTGAGCTGAATTTTGGCTAAATTTTATCTACATTTTATCTAAATTTTAGCTGAATTTTATCTATATTTTATCTACATTTTAGGTGAATTTTAGCTGAATTTTAACTACATTTTATCTACATTTTAGGTGAATTTTAGCTGAATTTTATCTACATTTTATCTAAGTTTTAGCTGAATTTTCTCTATATTTTATCTACATTTTAGGTGAATTTGAGCTGAATTTTGGCTAAATTTTATCTACATTTTAGCTGAATTTTAGCTAAAGTTTAGTGAAATTTTAGCTAAATTTCAGCTAAATTTTAACTGAATTTTATCTAAACTTTAGCTGAATTTAATCTACACTTTATCTAAACGTCATCTAAATTTTAGCTAAATATCATCTAAATTTTAGCTAAATGCCATCTAAATTTCAGCTGATTTTTAGCTGAATTTCCTCTAAATTTTCTCTATATTTTCTCTAAATTTTACCTCCATTTTAGCTCAATTTTCTCCCCCGTTTATATTAACAATATTGAATTAAATCCCAAATTTGCCCGGACTCACATGAGCTTCTGCAAACACTCGGTGGCCGACAGGAAACACTTGTCCTTGATCAGGGAGCGCCTCTGGAAAGGAGACACAGAGCCTTTGGAACATCTTCCAGCCCCCAAAGGAATTCCCAAGGAGGTGATGGATCCCTAAGGAAGCTCCAGCACCGCCCCACATTCCCAACCCCATCCCGAAGAGCCGGAATTCCGGGATGTTTCTCACCTGGTTGGTCGTCAGGGTGAGATCCTTGAGAGGCCAGAGGTGCCTGGAAGGAGATCACAGAGACAGTGAGAAGGGCTGAGCCCGCCCTAAATCTGCCTCCACTGCTCCAGGGATAATTACTATTCATTAATTTGGCTCATTAATCCAGGCAAAGGGTTGATTTTACTCCGAGAGTCTCCTGAAAATAATCAATTTGGGAGAGTTTGGGAACCTTCAGATTCTCCCACTGAGCCCAGACTGAACCCAACGGACACTCCGGGTGTCCCTGAGGTGCAGATGATGCTGTGGTGGGAAAGCTGGTGGAGTTTGGCCCCACATCCCATTCCAGAGGTGGATTTAGCAGCAGGAATGGCTGAAGGAATCACCTGACTCCTCATTTTTGAGTCTGTGTGCCTCCACTCTCAGAGCAGACACCACTGTTGCCCTTTCTAAGACACATTTATAAGCTCTGGTTGGTCGGTCCCAAGTCGGAACAAAGCTTTTTTTTGAGGTAATAAAAGGGTTTTCCAGCCAAAAATTAAAATTAGCCCAGCCATTTGCAGCTTTTCCCTAGTCAGTGTTGCCCTTCCAGGACAGGCAGGCACTTCCTGGCAGGATTTCCTCTGGCAGCACAAAACCTCAGTGCTACAGCCACTGACAGACCAGGAACAGGCTCCAGGTCCTTTCCAGGATCCCAGCCACGTATCCAGGGATGGAAAAACACCACTTACTTCTGCACATCCAGGAATTCCAGGAGCTTGATGTCAGGGAACAGGCTGAGGTCCACGATGCCCTGGCAGTACAGGTCATCTTCCCTCTCGTGGTACAGCATGTAGAGCATGAAGAGCTCGGGGTAGAAGCAGGGCAGGATCAGGGGCAGGACCACACTGGAGGCCTTCTGCTCACTGGGGCAGAGAAAAACAATCCTGCAGTGACATTCCAACCTTAAACATTCCCAAAACCACCCGGCACACGAGGGAAGAGGCAGCTTCCAAGACCTCGAGGTGTTCTCCTTGTTCTCCCCTCCTTCCCCCTCCCGAGTTCAGTGTCCCAGTTGGGCTGGAGTGACCTACAGGACACTCATCCCAGCTGGAGATCCTGCTGCATCCTGGGCTGTGGGATAGGACAGATCTCCACAACATTTCCTTAATCCCTGGGAGAAACCTGGAGCACCAGAGACCTGTCTCCAGCTTTTCTTCCTGAGCTCTTTGAGCAAAAACTCGTCTCCAGCTTTTCTTTTTGAGCTCTTTCAGCAGAAATTCAGCTCCAGCTTTTCTTCCTGAGCTCTTTCAGTAAAAATTCATCTCCAGCTTTTCTTCCTGAGCTCTTTCAGTAAAAATTCATCTCCAGCTTTTCCTTCTGAGCTCTTTCAGTAAAAACTCATCTCCAGCTTTTCTTCTTGAGCTCTTTCAGTAAAAACTCATCTCCAGCTTTTCTTCTTGAGCTCTTTCAGTAAAAACTCATCTCCAGCTTTTCTTCTTGAGCTCTTTCAGTAAAAACTCATCTCCAGCTTTTCTTCTTGAGCTCTTTCAGTAAAAACTCATCTCCAGCTTTTCTTCTTGAGCTCTTTCAGTAAAAACTCATCTCCAGCTTTTCTTTCTGAGCTCTTTCAGCAGAAACTCATCTCCAGACATTCTTTCTGAGCTGTTTCACTGGAGTATTTGTTATTTCTTAAGGAAAAAACCCTCAATAAATTCCCTTGCAGCCCTTTTCCAGCTGCCCACAATGCCACCAACCTCTTGGCTTCGTTCAGCCCCCACGGGAATGGTTTCAGGTTCAAAGAGAAATCCAGGCCAAACAGAGACAGCTGAGAAAAGAGGCTACTTCTCACTCCCAGAAACCCCAAATCTGTGTCTCCCACTATTATTCCCACTTTCCTGTTCTAGGAACAACACATCTTCTCCCTCCTTTGCCAGTGGCTTCTGCTCCAGAAAATGAGTAGAAGAAGTTGTTTTCTTGCTTCAAGCAGAACTCCTGAACACTTTGCACCCTGAGGGAAGTGTGGGCACTAAACCTGCTCCAAAGGGACCCACACAGGGAGTTCAGCACCTGATGTGTTTTAGGAGACACCCCATTGTCCAAACAGCTTGGAATGACATTCCCAGTGGTGACACCTACCTCGTGTCTCCATCCACAGCCCTTGGGGACAGCTGGCCTTTCTGTTCCAGTGCCAAATGGAGCAAACCCCTGAAAGAGCAGCAGGAACAAGGTTTAGTTCCCTCCCTCCTTTGTTTATTTTAGGGATAATTTGTTATTCCCAGGTGAGGAGCTCAGCTGTCCCAGCCCCAGGTGGGACATTAAAGCTCCCTGGAATTCCTGCAGGGTTGTTTCTGGGTGGAAGTTTTTGAGGGGTTTCTCCTTTAACAGCAGAAGCCCCAGGAATGACTGAGTGTCCCAAAATCTCCACAGCTTCTGGAGAGCAGGGTGGTCCCTCTGGAATTCTAAATGTGGTCTGCACTGAGCACCATCTCCTTGAATTCCCACTCAAGGGACATGAGACTTGAGCAACCAGTTCTCCAACCCATCCAGGAACATCAGAGGATGGTTCTCCTCAGGAAGAGTAGCTGGGCTTTGTCTTGATATTCCACAGAATCCCAGGATGGTTTGGGATGGAAGGGACCTTAAGGATCACCTCATCCCACCCCCTGCCATGGGCAGGGACACTTTCCACTAGCCCAGGTTGCTCCAACCTGGCCTTGGACACTTCCAGGGATCCAGGGGCAGCCACAGCTTCTCTGACCAACCCATGCCAGGGCCTCCCCACCCTCCCAGCCAGGAATTCCTTCCCAATATCCCAGCTAAATCTCTCTTCTTTCAGTTTAGAACGAGGTTTCCCTGGAGCCTTCTCTTCTCCAGGCTGCTCCTCTCATCCCACCTTTGTGTGAGAGATGCTCCATCCCTCCCATCGACTTCCTGGCCTTTATTCCCAAACCAACTTCATCCTCCTAAAATGAGGATTAGGGAGAGGTTGCCCTTCATTTTTGGGGAGAAATATCAGCCCAGGGAACTCAACCAGGAGCACAGCAGGGCGAGGAGGGTCTCCCTCCCCACATTTCATCCCCCAAAGCCCTCGAGACATGAAGCAAACTTTGCCCTGAGCTCAGGAGCACCTTCCCATGAACCAGTGCTCAGGTTGGACTGAACCCAACCCGACCTGTTCCCACCAGTTGTGCCCCAGGACAGACATTGTAGGGAACCAACCACCTGAGGATGTGAATACTGAATCTCAAAATGTAATTCTTACTAGATAAAACTGCCAGCAAATAGTTAATTATTCACATTACACTGCATCACTGAATATCCTGTCTCTCGGAAAAATACACAATCAGAAGAATTTTAAGTCCTAGTGAGAAAATTGTAAAGTGTTTTCCAAGTGTGGTACAAAAAAACACTCATTGTGAGCTAAACAAGCCCTAAACGAGTGTTTATTGCTCTGCCCATGAACATGCCGAGTTCAAGGGTGAATTTTACCGTGGTTGTACCACTGTAATTACAGAGTGTGTGGAATAACATTACTGAAGGACAGTTTTACATCACAGAAGGGTGTGTAGGTTGGAAGAGACTTGTAGAGGTCATAGAATCATAGAATCAGCTGGGTTGGAAGGGACTTCCAAGATCATCCAGTCCAACCCTTGATCCAACCCCGCCGTGGTTCCCAGCCCATGGCACTGAT